GCACAGCCTGAGTTGATTCTCTTAAGACATGGAAAACATGTTGCCAGGATGCAGGCCCAAGGTGAAAAGTCACAGTAATAGTACCTAGAGTATCTAACCTTTGTCCATTTATGCACGAGATTTAACATAGTTTTTAGCCAGGGGACGACTTTGTAGTGCGGAAACTGACGTGCGAAAATCAGCACTAATTAAAGACACACAAACCCCTGAGTCCACCAGGATAGCTACTGCAGTGCCTTCCACAATTCCTTTCACGTATGAGTCTGCTGCTCACACTTATGAGTGTCTATCTCACATCCCCCAGCAGAAGTGTCCATGATCATGGGGCCCATATGAAGGTGAGCTGATGTCTGGGCCTCGGCACCAGCTACACTCTGTTTCCCTGCTGACTATTGTCATTAACTCGACGTGGAGACAAGAATCTCACCCCTCGCTTACCCTGCTCATTCTCCCATCTAGGGCGCCAGCTTGGGCTGGGGCTGCGCCCCCCACTGTACTGTGATCGGCGGTCCTGCCATGGGCTGCCTGCTTCTGTTAACTGCAAATCGCGATCAGGGGAGCGTCCACCCCGTCTCTATGGTGGCCCCCCTACTGCAGCTCTCAGTCTGCGATTCTCCTCATACATCTCTTTCATTTCCATCCTAAGGAAACGCACCTCCTCAGTAAGTTTATCGACTGCGGTTCGAAGACCTTCATCCATTGACACAGAATGCACAGCAGCACCCTCGCCAATAGGATGGCTGCTCGAAGGTGCACTCACATAGTCTATCTTCAGGGCCTCTCGTGCATTGTCGCATCGTCCGGCTATCAGCAGAGCCTCTTCCAAATCTGTAGCCCCCTGCTCGAGGCACTTTGACTTTAAAACGGGGTCCAGTCCAGCAAGAAAACGCCTAAACTTCTCCTCCCGCTGCGCAACACTTCCATAATGCGGAAAAGCCTCCTGCACCAACCGACTTATGTCGGCAGCATATACATCCAAGCTCTCACCGGGAGCGCGCGATTGAGCAGAAAGCGAAACTCTGAAGCGCTCCATAAACTGTTTTTGTCCGAAAGCCTCTTTAAGCTTCTGTTTAACCACAGCGTAATCAGATTGCACTGTAGCAGGCAGGCTATCCCATAACAAAAAAGCTGCCCCGCTCAAGCGAGTGGGGAGAATCCGCACCAAGTCATCATAATAATCACAGCTACAGTCTGACGATGCCTTCACCGCCACTTCCAGTTGCCTCACCCAGCAGAGGAAACGTTGGCTCCCATCACCATTAAAGGGCGCAGGCAAGTCGATTTTCATTTTCATTCTGTCGGTAGATCGACCGAATTCCCCCCGGACAAACTTAAATGGATCCTCGTCGCCACACCACATGTTGTGGGGAGCAAGAACAAACTAACAATTAAGCGCAATTATTGGGAATAACGACGCAGGCAACGATTAAAGTTGCTTCCAGCAATAAATCCCACCGCTGCCACCAATGTGACCGAGCCTCCAGGTTCGGATAGATTTATATTAACCCTCAATGGACACGAGATCCACCTCAGTTGCCGAACACTTCACTTCCTTTTTATTTATTTATTTTTTTACACTTTTCCCCGCCCTACGGCAGCTCTACCGGGACACAATCCACGAACCCTCTATATCACAAAGTTTGTTACAGTATTATCATAATATGTTGACATGAAAATGTGAATGAGTCTATCGTTCAGAGAAGTCTCATGGCCTCGTGCTTAAAGAACCGCACATGCCTCGCGAGCCACAGATTGCCGACCCCTGCCCCTTAACTAAAAAGCCGTAAGGTTCATAAGAGTGGCTGCTGAATTCGTAAAGCTGCTAAGTTTTTAAACGCAGCATTTTATACAATATTGGACAAACACGTAGTTTACTGGTGATTTCATGTTCGTCAAAGTTTACATTATTTAACAACAGTATAAAGTAATGTTATTTTTATGCAAATCAACTCAATAAAACCTGTTTACTTTCACCATTGGGTCCTTGAATAAGTTGCTCCAGGGACGATCTGACCCTGCTTTCTTTAAGTAAGCAAGTAAGTAAAAGTTTCAAATAGTAATAATAAAAAAGGTCTACCGTTTGCTAAATGTAAAATATAATGATAATGAAAAACTACATTTCTCATCGGGAAACTCCGCGTTTCTTTCCTGAGATTGGATTTGTCATGGGATAGACTCCGGCGAGATAATCGAACGCATGTGCCGTAACATTTACGACAGGACGTGAAAGCAGCGCGACAGCCGAAAAAGCAGTTGTTGCCGGCAGCGGGTCCTTTGGAGTTTAAGTAGTCTCCAGTTGAGCTATACGCCGAGTAGATATTCGTTTATATTTATAGATATCTAATGCAGCACGTTACAGGGTTAATGATATCTGAATCTGATAAAAGAACAGGAAAATAAAACCGCAAACAGGGTTCGTCCGGGATTTGAACGCGGGATCTCTCGCACCCAAAGGGAGAATTATACTCCTAAACTAACAAACCAAGGGAGAGGAAGAGTTTTGACAGTACTTTTACGTAAGTTTTCCATTCTATTATATACTGTGTTGTCTAACATCCGATTGCAGAGTTGCCAGATCCGCGGTCTTGCTAGCCAGTTTGGCTATTTTCACAATACAGGTTCGGGTAAATATTAAGAGGTTGCGGGTTTTTGGCCTGATATCATAATGTTCCGCGGCAGCGGACTGTAAGAGGTAAAAATAAATATAATTAAATATTAAATAATAAAATAAATTAATTATTATGAACGCAAGTGGCTCCTAATGCTGTGTAATACTGAATCGCTAGCCATCGAAAGTCAGAGACGGACGTACACAGAAATCAGGGTTGCCAACTCGCACATCTGGCGTGATATTCACGCTTTCAGACTCACGCAAGCTATCTTACGGAAATATATATAATTATATTACAAACTTAAAATTAGCTACACCAGAAGCGAAGTTTGTGAACTCTACAGACTATTCACAAGATAATAAAACTGTTATATACATGTAAATGCATGTGCATGCAGATCTATCTCGAATTGAAAATCTCACTCCAGCCAGCTGACCAAAGTTGACAGCCAAGAGTGCGTCCGTCTACGTGACATCATTGTGTTTAATTGTAGTTTCAACATGTTGAACATTTGAATGTGATCTGTAGGCAAAATACTGGTTTATTTATTTGAGATACAGTATACTGGGATTTCAAATATTGTGCTAGTTTCAGCTTATTCAGTATTATTTTAAGCAGACCTTGGGCTGGAGATTTTTGCTAGACCTGGCAAAACTATCCGGTTGGCATTGTATAGTTACATCTTCTAAGAATATTCAAGGAACTAAGGGACCTCTCGCAAGCCAAGCGAGAATCATTCCCCTCGATCAACGGGCCTCCTACCTATTATACGGCTTCCTAATATATTCGTCTTTTAATGTCTACTTGGACCCCTTTTCACCTAATTCAAAGATTATGGCCGAACTACGCTTCCCATGATGCTTTACGTGATTGCGCGTTTGCGCACCGAATAAACGTTTACATTAGAAACCTCGTCGCTTCATTCTGTAAAAGTAAGTTTTGAATCCGTTTTCTAGACATATAACGCCAAGCGGGATCTATCTACATAGAAGCTCATTCTTAGAATAAAGAAAACGCTAATTAGGTACTTATGAATGAATGATGTTACTTGGGGTCCAACTGGTTATTTCTGTTAGATGTTAGCTTGCTATCTAACTAGCTGTTGTGGATTCACTTTCCCGGTGTAGTCAATGGTTATACTTGAAAATGTAGCTTCATAAATAACGCCAGCATCTCATGTTTATTAACTGGACAACTTGTGTGGTTTTGTTACGATAAACATTTCTAGCGATCTGCCTTTTGTGATCGTCCAGCTGACGGATCACCTTACCGCTGAGCTGTACTATAAAATATATTTACTTTTTTAAAGTGTGGCAACCCTGGATCGGTGACTGGATATGGATCCCTTTTTGAGAACATTGCGGGATCAGGATGATAGGTGAGTGTACATACGTCAGCAGTTAAATTTCAAAGTTAGACATCGATGGTATTGTGATAATGTCATCATACATCGAACATACGTGTTTGTAGAAGTAATATTAATTTCTTTTTGACTTACTACACATTTATTTATAGATATATATGGCTTTGTGTGTGTCTATATAGTTGTAACACAGCTGAATTTGTGGACCTCAGACTTGTGACACTGGGACTTAATTGCCTTTTTCATCTGCAGTGCGGTTTTGACCTCTTGTGAGCCTGAGCTCCAGGAACTAATGCGTCAGATTGACATCATGGTTGCTGAAAAGCAGACCCAGTGGGACCAAGAGATGAAGGCCTTGAAGGGGAATCTGGCAGATAATGAAAGGGACCTGAAATCCACCAGAGATCGCTTAGAGAGAAAGCATGCCGAGGTATCTATACTTGTAGCAACTTTTCAGATTTCTTGAGTATTGATGGACAAAATACATTGCTCATTTTTTTGCTCTGACCCACTTCCTTTACTTCTAGTACATATTTAAAGTCAGAGTAGTAGTCATTACTCTGTTAGAGATTCAGACCAGTGGCTTTTGGATGACAAAGTTTGTACTGGAGAAACAATTGCACAAGGTGAACTGACATGGAGGATGTAGTTGAACATTTTCAGCTGCATGTGTGTGAATATCTGTGCCTTCAGCTGTATATTATATGGTTTTTATGTATTATTTTATGTAGATGCAAGTAGGGCTGGATGATTTATTGATTTGAAATCGAAATCATGATTACCAAATCGCTAAGACTGCGATTTAGGATATACATTATACAGCATGTCGGACACAGGGTTTAAAACTGTTGTGAGAATAGTTGTACAAATTCATGCCATGCTCCCTGTGTGATAGTCATTCTCACCAATCAGAAGTGCCGTATTTCTCACATGCCAGTCATGCTCACCAATTGGAAGTGGCCTAAGACAACTGCATATAGGCCCACAAACAGCAAACTTGTGAAACCCAAGGAAAATGTTGCATTCGCGGTGCGGAAAAAATACTTCTGCTACTGAGCTATAAGTGAATTGCCTTCCTATTTCATGGTCCCACATTGTTTCAGAAAGGTCCCTATCATCAATAGAACCAGCGACCTCCTTTTAACCACCAACAGCGACTTACTTCAGCGTACCATACCTTTTGCTTTTGTTAATGGGCAATAGCATTAGCATATCGCTAACCCATCTAAACAACAATGAGACAGTCAGTAATCCATGCAGCAGCTGAGTCTGTCACCCCCAACAAAGCCGTAAAACCCATAATATAGTTGTGTTTATGTTATATGTTTTTGTGCTCATTAATTTATTTCCAAAGATTAATCTTGTGAAAATAATCTTAATCCCACAACAGTAAGAAAATAAATGCCTCGCTTTAACATAAATACTGAAAGAACAGATCGTTTTAATCGTTATTACAATTGGGTATTATTATTATTAGAATTGGGTCTTATTATTTAGAAAAGATACAAAAAGTGGCACATATATTTATTCATTCGTTTTATATTTGTCAGAGTAACAAGGCAAAGGAATAAGATGCTTCAGTTGAAAACTGCATTTTACTTCTCATTTCAAATAACATCCAGGGTTGCCAGCTTTGGTCAGCTGCATGGAGTGAGATTTTCTGTTATCTGTTCTGCACACACATTTTCATGTATGTAAAAGTTTTATTATCTTGTAAATAATCTGTAGGATTTGCAAACTGCCTTAATGTTTCTGATGCAGCTAATTTTAAGTTCAGAATGGAATAATATAGATTTACCGTAAGATTTCTTGCGTGAGTCTGAAAGAGTTTGCAACCCTAAACACGTACATTTTTTGCTTCACCTGTATTGATTTGTACAGAAAATAACCGTATACCGTTGTTAAAAAGCGGAAACTTCGACCAACATGAAATCACCAATAAACTACCTATATTTTTTCGACATTTTATAAAATGCATACTACATTTCAAATTTTTCCAGCTTTACGGTTTCAGGACAGAATAGCTACTCTGTTATGAACATTATGGCTTTTTGGTTGAGAGTGTTAGATTAGTTTCTGTTATTAACACTAATTACATTAGTGCAAACAAAAGGGCTGCATACACCGAAGTAGTTCTTGCTTGTTCATTGGGGTGGGAAAAGGCAGTTCTAGTGTTATTAGGGGATTAATCAGCATTAGCTGGCAGATCGCTATTGGTAATGCTGTGTCATATGTTTTAAATTTAAACTTAATGCTGAACTTAAGCTTGACATAAAAAAAATTATTGCAAAAAAAATGGTAATTGCAATATCTGTCACAAAAATCGTGATTAGATATTTTCTACAAAACCTTCAGCCCTACATGCAAGCAATGGGGCTAACATTTTTAAGCAGCTATTACTTTGAGATGCAGGAATGGTAGGAAGTAAATTTAAGAAAAATAATATGTCACGGTGATGACAATGACAGGCTAGGCTACTCTGAGAAGCTATGAGGCACATATCTATGGTTACTCTTACATTATTGGGTGTCTGTCAAACATGAATGTCCTCTTTTAAGAGGTATTTGCATAGCTGCTTTTGTGATATTTAAGTTCTGTTTTTCAGTTCTCATGGGCTGCACATTGGTGTATGGTGGTTAAAGTTTAAAGGTTAAAGTCTGACACGTTTCGTTTTTGTAAATGTAATTTTCATTTTTATTTCACTTCACCAGTTTCTTTTATTTAGTGTCTGTTTTTGTTCCAGTTTTAGTTTACAATAACAGCACTGGTCCCAGCAAGTCCAATGCACATGAATACACAGACTGGCACCATCAATCAATGTAGAATATGCCCAGATTTTAGTCTAAACGTTTTCACAAACAGTTATTCAAAGGAGATTCTAATGTAACAGGTGGACAACTTTATGGCTTTAATAATGACTGTTTAGCAGCTACAAGGACACATGATATTAAAACAATTCTCCATACTAATGATAATTAAATTAACTTGAATAGACAGCACTTACGGTGGTTTTGCCTACTCTGGCAGTCCATCATTCAGAATAGCTCCTGTGCATTTTCTCATCAGGTGCTTGTGCATAGCGCTAGTGCCACTATGGCATGCCATCAAACTGTTCACAGTATAAAACCACCTTTTTGTTTTGTGATAATTAGAACTACTCTCATAATTATGTAATGATATTAAAGGAAAACTTTTGTTATGAACTGAAGTATTTTAGATCATAAAGGTTATTTTATTAAAATAAATGTCAACTAATTATGGCAACCCTACTATATACACAGACACACAAATATAATTAAACATGGCATGATGTTATGTTTTCTTATCCTGATATAAAAATTTTGAGTATCTGTTGATTCTGGTATCAATTCGATATTTATTCCGCTTTATCAACTTTATCAAATATTCTGTAATAAAATTTATATTGATTTTTTTTTTATTGCTAGCCGCCTCATTTGGCAAATTTTATCTCCAGTAACCGCACCACAACATTTATTGTGGGAGAATTTAATTGTCACTTTTTTAGTTTCTTTTGGAAAGGTGTAATAATAATATTTTAATAATATTTTCCTTAGACGGCTAGACTTTTGTTCAGCAAAATTTGTCATGGATGACCCCACAATATAAACTCTTTGAATGCAGTCACAAAAACTAAAATAAGCAAAAGTCTTGTATTTTGTTGGTTATTTATGGTTAAGGTTATGGCTGGGTAGGTATTAGGGTTATGTCCATAGAAATAAATGGAGCGAATGTTGTTTTGTGGGCAATGAATTGGTATAGTCTAATTGAAAGAGCCAAGGATTTAATAATAATAATAAAAAAAAACTTTTCCTTGAAAATACTGTTCTTCTTGATTGTAGGTACAGTAAAATCCCATTATAGTGGACTCGCTTAAACGGAATATTGTCTATAACGGACGAGATCCGCTGGTCCCGGCCACATGCCTTTAAGAACATGCAGAAAAAGCATCAGATATAGCGGACTCGCATATAACGGAATTCTGCTTATAACGGACAAACAATTTGACTAGTTTTGTTCGGCTATAACGGACAAGTAGGCTCCACCTACAAGGTGCGTGGCGTGCTGGTAATATCCAACGCAGATATGTAGTGGGGATTATTAATAGTCACGCATCTGGTCAGGTGAAGCTGGATTACTACATATACAACAATCTATACCACAAGTGTGTCTCCTAGGGTGTGGCATGAGTACATGGTGTCCTGTAGTTGTGTTCTGGGCATACAGCAACTCTGGATATAACGGACTGTTTTTCCAGGTTCCTTGAAGTCTGTTATAACTGGATTTTACTGTAATTCCTTACGTAGACTATAAATAAGGGTGTTCATTTTTATTTCCATATTGAAAAATAAAATGCTGAAGCACGATTGGTCATTGTTGAAAGTTCCCCTGTAGCTCAACTGATAGAGCATTGCACTAATAATGCCGAGCTTCTGGGTTTAAATCCTATGAAGTATAGATAAATTTTACCTCTTCCTTCTATTGTAAGCATTTTTGGTTTAACACATCAGTTAAATTTAAATGAGTAACTTTTTTTTTTTTTTAATAATGGTATTTTTTATGACCTATTTTTAATTTAAATGAGCCAAACCTGGGTTGCATGGTGGTGCAGTGGTTAGCACTGTTGCCTCACACCTGTGGGATCTGAGTTTAAGTCTCCACCAGGGTTCCACGTGTGTGGATTCTACCTGTTCTCCCCGTATCATCATGGGGTTTCCTCCAGGTTCTCCCCACAGTTCAAAAACATACTGAGGTTAATTGGAATCACCAATGTGCTTGTATGAGTGAATGGTATGTGAATATGCCCTACTAAGGGTTCGTGACCCATCCTGGGTTGTGCCCTGCCTTGTGCCCCTAACCTCCGCTCTGAATCCTCCATGACATTGAATAGGATTAGTGGTTACAGAAAATGGATAGATGGACGAACCGAACATTAAGAAATACACTTATAGCAATTGAGACAATAAAATGAGTACAGGGTAATTCCACTGTGACTCGCGTTACATTTTAGTCCACTTTTCTAACTTGCAGCTGCTGTCATAGCCACAGCAGTGGTCCAAGAAACTTTTATCTACTGCACATGTGATTATTATAGCATAAATAACAAAATTATAAAAAATATTTTTTAAAGAATTTTAATTGAAATTTTAATTACAAATTGATTACAGCGTGACTCGCGTTACAAAAAAAGGAAAACCTTTTAAGTTCAAATGATAATAGCATGGTTTCTCCTCAAACTAAAAACATTGGACTCCATTGAATACCATAAAGATGCTCTCTACATTGCATAGTTCTGAATAGGCTAGAATGGAATTTTAACTTTTTGATTGTTACAGAGAAAATGTTACATAATATGCGTGACTCGCGTTACCGTGACTCGCGTTACCTCAAAAGCAGCACTAACTACATAATGCTCACACTTACAGAATTAAAACATGGACAGGATTTTCTTCCTGATTTTGGTAGTTGGTATGGTGAACACCTGATGATAAAAAAAAAATCTAGCCTACATGTACATATTTGATTACATTGATTAAGTGATTAACCCCATCATGGAAAGAGGTGAATTTCAATAATTGCATTTGATTAACCAAATATAGAATTTTAGCAGTAAAGTTCTCTTCTTTCATAAACATCTTAAGTAAGCCTTTTCATTTAAAGACTGGCAAAGCTGTAATGCTCACGTGAATTCACAAGGATGGGTGGCAGTAA